ATATAGACTGATAATATAATTCCTATTTCATTCTAGTGTCTTCTTTATAAAATCCTACTCAAGGCCTAAACTATGCTCCTTGGAAAATAGCAGTAATATAGTGATATATAGTAACACAGAGTGATATAGTTAGAACATCCAAGACTGCAAATCCAGTCTATCTTCTATCTATGCTTTCCTATCATGCCTTGGTAGATCACCATAGTCTCTCGGGGTCATTTATGTCATCTGTTAATTAAATAAATTTGATAATATCATATATTTTAAAATCCATAAGCCTCTCAGTGTTGGGGAACTTTTGTCACAGTTCACTTGAGGTTCTGTATTGACATGATTATGCATGCAAAATTCTGTAATTACATATCTTTCATATCCATTTTCTTACAAATGTATTCTGAATAATTCAAGTTATTGCTTAATATTTTATAGCAATAATCCCTATATGTTCATCTATAAGATATATTTTCTCATGATAAATGTGAAATGCTTAAGCATAGTTTCAACTGGCTCTTATCTGTTTCTCCTATCTCAAGGTTCACCTCAAATAAAGTATTGTAAGGTTATAGATATACTTTCTCATGATTTTTTCCTCTTAAATAGGCTGTAACTATCAATCATTTTTCTCATTTTGCATGAACCACTTTCTATGCTTGATAAAAAGATACAAATGCATAAACCCAAGAAGTTCAACATATCCCAAACAGGATAAAACAAAAATCATGCCAGGAACATTAAGGTAAAACTACCAAACACCAAAGATGTAGGACATAAGAAAATTCTAACAGCAGATGGAGGAAAAAGGACACCAAAATCCAAGAGAATAAACATGAGAATAAATGCTAACTTTTCATCAGTAGCAACACAAACCAGAAGGCAATGGGACATATCTTTAAAGGAGAAGAACTGTCAATTTAACATAATCTATCCAGCAAAAATATTCTCCAAAAATTAACATAAAACAAAGATAAACAAAGGCTGACAGAATTTGGCAACTGGTTCTTCAGTTTAAAGAGAAATGAAACCAGTTAATAAACATGTATGTAAAACAAGAATTGAAGATCATTTAAAATGATAAATATTTGGTTAAATATAAAGGAATTTCATTATTTTCACTAGTTTCCTTGAAAGACCTTTGAATTTTAAAGCAAAATCACACTGTATTATAGGATATATAGCATATGCATTTATAAAATAAATGAAAACCATACCACCTAGGATGGGAAGGGGTCAAATGAAAGTAAACCATTGATAAGTTATAGCATAATTCATCAAATGCATCAAATAATATAAAATGTTGAGTTAAAGATACATGTAATCCCTAGAGATTTATCTGAACACACAACACTCAAAGACATAGACAAACTCACCAAGATGATTAGATACAGAGCCAAGAGAAAAGTTAGTATTATTTGATCAAAACAAGAGAAGTAAGGAGTACCAAGGGAAAAACAACAGAAGAAACAAACAAGATAAACCCTATCAATAGCCCAACCATGCCAATAATTACAGTAAATATAAATGATTAAGAAATCTAATTAAAAGTCAGATATTATCACAACGAATTAAAAAGAAACAAGATCCAGCTACAGATAGCTGAAAGAGTATACACTTATATAAAGATACAGATTGTTTGAAAGTAGAAGAATAGAAAAAAATGAATGCAGAGTAAATACTTATCATGAGAAGGCTGGTGTGTGTGTACATATTTAAAAATAGAGGATATAAACTTCAACTCTGGGAGTATTATCAGAATAATGATTGATATTTTATAATGACAAAAGGGCTAATTCACAAAAAGTTCTAACAATTTTAAATGTGTGTACTCAAGACAAAACTTCAGAGAATGTGAAGCAAAACTTGATACAACTAATGGAAGAAATAGGCAAACCCATGGTCATGGTGAGAGAAATTAACACATCTTTTTTATGAGTCGTTAGACTGACCCAAAATTGTTAATGATATAAGAAAATAATATTATCAAACAACATTGCCTAAAAGACATTTATAAGACACTACATCCAATACAGATACACATTCTTTTTGATTGTACATAGAGCACTGTCCAAGATAACCATATTCTAGCCCATAAAACAAGTCTTGACATACTTAAAAAGGTTAAATAATATATAATACATCCTCTGACCAAAACATAATAAATATATAATTAAAAACAGTAAGATCTCTAAGAAAATCTCAAAGGATTAAAAATAAATAAGTTCTAAATAATTCATAGATCAAAGAAAAAAATCACAAAAGAAAATTTTAAATATTTTTAACTAACTGATAACACAATATACCATATCAAAATTGAGAAAATGCTGCCTCACAGGTGCTCAAAAGAAAATTTATGGCACCAGACGCTTACACAGCAAATTTAGATAGATAGATAGACAGAAAGATGATTACCTATGCTTTTCAATGCCTTTTTGGGAGTATAATAATAAACAAAACTCCTTGCCCTCCTAGAGTTTACTGCAGAATACAGACTAAAAGAATAAAACTAAAAATGTATATGATTAGAAAGCAATAAATGCTATGATCTAAAATAACGGATAAAGAGGATGTGGTGTACATACACACAGTGGGATATTATTCAGCCATGAGAAGGAAGGAAATTCTGCCATTTGTGACAACATGGATGGACTTCGAGGGCATTATGCTAAGTGAAATAAGTCAGACAAAGAAAGACAAATACTGTATGATATCACTTATATATGGAATTTTAAAAAGTCAAATTCATAGAAACAGAGAGTAGAATGGAGGTTGCCAGGGGCTGGGAGATAGGGGAAATGGGGAGATACTGGTCAAAGGGTACAAACATCCAGTTATAAGTTCTGGGGATCTAAGGTATAGCACGGCAATTATAGTTCATAATGTATTTTATATACTTGAAAGTTGCTAAGAGACTAGATCTTAAATGTTCTCACCACAAGGAAGAAATGGTAATAATGTGATGAGATAGAAATGTTGGCTATAGTGGTAATCACTTTGCGATACATAAATGTATCAAATTGACATTACACCTTAAATGTACCCAATGTTATATATTAATTATATGTCCATAAAGCTGGAAAAATCATAAATCCAAAACACATAATAAACAAACAACAGAGGAGGGGAAAGATAAGGGTCTGGAGAGCACTGCTGTCTTTTAAGCTTTTAATAAGGTATCAAGCAAGGTCTCAGTGAAAAGACCTAAAGGAATGAGGAAGGGGGTATGTGGAAATATGGGGAAGATCTTTCCAGGAGGGTAAACAGCAAAGGCCCTAAGCCAGAAATGGCTTCAGCTGTTCAAGACCAGAAAAGGGACAGCTGTCAGGACAGGTAAAACAAGAGGGAAATAAGTTAAAGTACAGTCAAGTGGGTCAAGAAGCCTAGAACCTGCAAGGTCTGTGGGCCATTCTGAACTTTTAACTCCGAGTAAAAGGCAGAACCACTGGAGGCTTTTAGGTGAAACTACATGATAGAAACTAGTACCATTTGTGCTAAGAATAAACTGTTATCGGGTCAATTGTGGTAACAGGAAGAAGGTCATTCAGTAATCAAAGTTAGAGATGACATGGCATTAGACCAGGGTACATGGAAGTGGGGAGAAGCGGTTGGACGCTGGAAAAATTGTGAAGGCAGAGAAAACAATTAAAAGAGGGAATCAAGGGATAGTGTGAGAAAAGGACACTGATTTGCGGAAAGTGATAATCCATGATTACCTTGAAGAGTGTTTCCTGTAAAATGGGACAGCTAGAGAAGCAGTAGCTGAGAGGGAAGGTTTTTGTTTTTGTTTCTCTTCTTTTCTAAAATGGGGGAAAATAAACGTTTGTATGCCAATGAGGAACATCCAGTATGTAGTAAAGAGTGAAATACTGATAAGGCAGGAAAGAGAAAGAGGGGCTAGGAATTCTTTGAGGAGGTGAGAACATTGGGATATAGAACACACACAGAGCAGGTGTCCTCAGAGAAGCATGGAAAATTCCTTCATAGTAACAAGAGGGGGTTAGCTCATGTGGTCACAGAAGGAGGCTGATGTGGAGCTGGGGATGTTCTGTTCTGATGGCTTTCTTTTTTTTTTTTTTTTCCTTTTTTGGCAAATAAGAATCAAAGGTCATTATCCCTAAACAAGAATGGAGGAAAGGGTGTCGAAAATTTTAGAGTGAGGCTAAAGCATGAAAACACCATCTGGGAAGGCAAAAAGACTAAGCATATATTGGATGATGATTGGGCAGCATTAATGTTCCACATGAAAGCAATGATCAGGAATTCAAAGTAAGCTTACTCGTTATTTTTTTAAATTTTCTCCATGGGTACAGAAAACTGAATAGAAAGTGGAATTAACCAGAGGAATCTCTAAGTAGTCTCAAAAACTTTCTACAAAAGAAAATGGCAATTTTGAGTACCTCTTAAGCCTGGAAAACACTATGGCCACATCATGCAAGGCCATGCCCATTCTTCCTAATTCTCTCTTAGCCTGACACTGGAGGGGTCAGAAACAGCAGCCAGCAAATTAGGAGGAGATGACTATGGGCTGCAAAGGAAACCATATTTCCTCTGCTACCACCCATGACTTCAGGCTTTCAAATTGAAATAGGCCTTAGACAGGGAGAAAAGAGTAGGTTTAATTTTGAGATAAGTTAGGAATTATGCTATTACATTGGACTGCACGGAGTAATTATTCACTGGAAGTTTTTAGAATGACAACTAGAGCTTGGCAAAACTTGGGCACACTCCCAGAGCAGAGCTGAAGGGATACTGGATGAAAACATCTTACTTAAAAAAAATTGGACCCCACATTTCAAATATTCGGTTATTTACAAGGGATTGCAGTGGGGAAAATTCTGAAGATTCCCTCCCCTCAACATTCCCTTCCACTGGTTATTCAAACACTAATATTATCTAGTGCTATGAAAGGAATTTGCAAAAGTAACAAGTCCCAAATCAGCTGACTTTCACATCAGCCCTTTAAAAGCAGGGTGTTTTCTCTAGCTGGTGGTAGAAGAAAAAGTAAGAGAAGTAAGAGAGATCAAAACATGAGAAGGACTCAGTTGTCACTGCTGGTGTGAAGATGGACAAACCACACAAGATGGCATGATGGTGACTTCTAGGAGCTAAGGCAGTCCCCAGGAAATAGCAGACCCAGAAATGGGGACCTCCGATCTAAAGCCACAGGAAAACAGGTATGGTTTTGAACTACTAAAGTATTTACTACTAAAGTTTAGCTACTAAGTTTGAAAAGTTGGCTAAGTGTGGTAAGTTTGTTAAGACAGCAAGAGAAAATAAATGCAAAGATACTTTCCTTTTTCTCACGGAAAGGAGTTGATTTGAAGGCTAGGAATATTTTTTCTTTTATTATAGTGGAAAGAGCAGCAGAATTTGGTTTGAATCTCTGTCACACCATTAACTAGCTCAACCTTACCTTGAGGCTCTTTGTCTTGGTTTCTATTTGATAAAACATGGATACTAATATCTATCTTGCAGCATCATGGTAATGATAGATAAAAAGTAAACACTTCACACAAAGCCCTAAACACAAAATGCAAACAGTAACATTCATAACTATTAATAATATTAATGATATTATCATGTCCTAGAATAATACATTTTCTATCTCCCCTAAATATCTCTTCAAATCCAGTGTTTCAACTCAAGCAGAAGCTCTGGTGTTCCACATTTGTTTCAAGGATTCCACACCCAGTCTAATAACACTGAAACATGCCTTTTGTCAGCTGGTCTTTTAATACCTTTACTGCATCAATCATTCTATCTTTCCACTTCAGTTATTTAATATCTTCTGAGCTCTTTGTTAATCTTCGTTAGTGTGTCACTGACATTCATAACCAATTTAATTTAGATTTTAAATATGCCAAGGCTTCCAGTGAGGACACTGATATCTTTTTATCTGTCCTTAGTGTCTTTTAGCCAAAATCTCATCAGGAACTCTGCTTTGAAATTTTTTTTTAATGTTTTTCAGTTAGAAATTTACATGGCTAACTGAATGAAACTGTCAATTGTGATGTACCTTATTTTCTTAATGACTAAATCGTATTTATTGTAGGACAAAACTAGTCAAAACTTCTGTGATGAGACATTCTCAAAGATTCAGCAAATTAATCATATATTTTGATGGCTTATTTAATAAAACTGTATATAATATTCATTTTTTTCTTTCCCCTCATTATTCCTTATTGGATCCTTTCACAATTCAGTCAACACAGTCACATGATCTGTGGACTGAAGATGCAATTATTGTTCAGCGTTGACTTTACCACAGGGTATGTGGAAATGAGTATCAAAATACAATTTTGATTGGAATAGCAGTATTTGCTGATCCACTGCAAGAAGAGTTAACATTTTAAGCCATGGTTTTGAATCTTAGGTACCCTGAATGTAATTTCACAGTCAAATTTACTGGCATGGTAACTTCTCAGATCAGATCAACAGCACCAGGGAGAAAAATGAATTACAAGTGAAAACATCATTTTCTTAGCAAGTTCACAGTATAAATTTGCCTATCCAGACAGTTAAAGAGGAGATATTTGTTGATTTGTTGTTCTCTTTCATGTGCTTGCTATTAACTATCAATTCTCACTCTCCCCCCATCTATCTCCCCATCTATCTCCCTACTCTCTCTTTTTCCCTCCTCCAACCCTTTGTCTTTCTATTGCTCTATCTCCCTACTTCCTTCTCCCCCACTTCTCTCACTCTGTCTACCCCCACCACTTCTGTCTGCCTCTCTCTCTCCATCCCTACCCTTTTCTTTCTCTCTTCCTTCTCTTCACTTTCAGATTCATTTTCACCCTGTGTAGAAGAGCTTTGCCAAGCCTATCTCATGTTTTATCCGTGTGTGTCACCAACTACAACCTGAATATATGACTTTAAATCATTTAATGGATTCATCTGTTTAGCTTCTTGACTAAGATAGTAGTAAGGAATCCTGAAAATATATCACCATGTATTGTTTTGCCCCCCAACCCCAAGGCTCTGAGGTACTGGCTGAAGTAGTTTTATAGTGGGGTCTATATTCCCAACCAGAACTATACTAAGTTACTGTGGGATCACCTCCTTCCTGGGGTGAGCCATTATTCATAGTTTCAAAAGAACCCATTCTTGCCCTAATTAAATAATTGTTGCTTAAAGAGAGGCCTCCATTCTCCAGCTGAAGGCAGTTTTTTTCTAATAGTGTATTTTCAGAACTGTGAAGGACCTAAGATTTTATCCTCCTTGCAAGCTAGCAAGTTAGCCTGCTACAGGATCATGAATGCTGGCAGAAAACTGAGACTCCCACGCCAGCTATAAAGGCCACTTCACTAGTCACAGCAAGAACAGTAGCCAGGGGGCACCTGGGTGGCTCAGTCATTAAGCGTCTGCCTTCGGCTCAGGTCATGATCCCAGGGTCCTGGAATCTAACCCCACATCAGACTCCCTACTCAGCGGGAAGCCTGCTTCTCCCTCCCCTCCCCACCTGTGCTCTCTCTTGCTCTCTCTCTCTCAAATAAATAAAATCTTAAAAAAAAAAAAAAAAAGAATAGTAGCCAGACTATCAGCATTTCTCTGAGTTTCTGAGCCCCAATTCCCACATAGCAATGTAACACACACACATAATGGATTACATTCCAAGAGGGGAACTCTGAGGTTAAGGATCCTGAGTCTTTTATCATGGGCAGTAACTATGCCTTTTCTTCGGAAGAAGGTACTATCTCTATCTATCTCTATATTATTCAATATACAAATATCCTTAAAATACACTCCAGACCAGTGATAGTGTCTCTGCTCATAAGATATACAGAAACATGAGAGCCTTATAGAGAATTGTCACCCAAAGTGTGCTGAGGTCAAAGCCAGGGAAAAGAAATAAAAGTCCATAATTTTAAGCTGTTTTTGTGTATCGAGCAATTCTTCTGAAGAGGTGATTTGTTTGGGGAAAATAATTAGATGCACATTCAATATTTACATCATTCTAATCAAATTTCATATTTTTTTGAACCACATCTCAAGTCACTACAATTTAGCATGGTTTTTGAGAAATTTCCAATTATTAAACTCTGGATGCCAAACAATGGTTAAAAATATTAGTTCAATATCTCAGATATTTGGCCTTTATAACATAGACTATAAAGGTTTTTAGAAAAATAAAAAATACAATTCACTGACTTAATTCTTCAGCATTTGCTTGCCATTATGATGAGTTAGTCCTGACTCACAGAAAATGATAACAAAGTGATCCATATTGCCTACACCATGGTCAAAGTCTACTAGAGAAGGTTGGTGTCTAGAAAGATAATTTATGATTCCCTTGTAGATAAGTAGTCGATATGGTATAAAGACATCAAGAAAGAGATGGGTCAGAAAATGCATTTTTGAGGAAATGGTAACTGATCTACATCTGAGAAATAAGTATTATATTAACCAGATAAATTTAGAGTGACTCTTTGGTCATGACAGTCTACTTATAAACCCATCAAAGCACTCTTCATTTCTTTTAGTTTTCTTTTTAAATATTATCTCTAGCATTTCATTTTGATTCCTTTTAGATTGAAGAGGACCCTCACCAAAACCTAGATGGTACCGACACCCTGATCTTGGACTGATCTTGGACTTCCAGCCTCCAGAACTGTGAGAAATAACTTTCTGTTGTTTATAAACCACCCAGTCTATGGTACTTTGTTATGGCAGCCTGAACAGACTAAGACAACAGCTTTGTCTGTGATAGCCAAGGGCGGGAAGCAACTCAAATCTCCCTCAGGAGGTGAATGGATAAACAAACGTGGTATATCCATACCATGGAAAACTACTCACAGCAAAAAGAAATGAAATATTAACAAACAACTTGAGTTCTACTTTTTCCAGTATAGCCCTAAATATATTAATCATAGTTATTTTAAATTCCCTGTCTGGTAATTCTAACACCTTTGCCGTATCTGAGTCTGGTTTTCTGATGACTGTTTTGCCTCTTCAGACTGAGGCGTTTTATTGCCTTTTGTTATGCCCTATAATTTTGCTGAAAGCCAGACATGATATATTGGGATATACTGGGTAATAGGAACTGAGGTCTTTAGCATGAGGTGTTATGTTAATCTAGCTGAGAGCTGGGTGGTCTTTAATGTCTGCTGCAGCTATGGGTTCCAGGGGCTTCAAATTCCTCTAACGTCCTTGTTTATCTCTCATCTGCTGTCTTGGGACACTTGCTAAAAATGGCAAGGAAGCTTTTATTCAAGATTATTACATTAGGGGAGAGAGCTCGAACTCAAATGTCCTGGAAAAAAAGGCAGAAGGATTTTTAAAAGCTGGGGTAAGAGAATGGAAAAGTACTAGAAGACCCTGAGGAGGGGGCGAGGTTTGTCAATGTCATTAAGCTGTCTGTGTTTCCTACTTGTCACTTGCAGAAGCTGAGCTCCTACCCTCACACAGAGACTAGAAGCCGGAAGCTCTATCTTTCTTAAGGATTACCTTACAAAAGGATGGACACAAGTTCCTGGGTTGTAGAAGATTTACATCTCAATAGGGCAGAGAAAGACTTATAATTGCAAGTTCTATAAAGTAAAGTCCCTAAGAAAAAGGAGGTCAAGGGCTTTAAGTCAGGAAGAAACCAGTCTAAAGTTTAGTCACACAAGAAATAGAGGCTAAGGGTGCCTGGGTGGCTCAGTTGGTTAAGTGACTGCCTTCGGCTCAGGTCATGATCCTGGAGTCCCTGGATGAGTCCCGCATCAGGCTCCCTGCTCGGCAGGGAGTCTGCTTCTCCCTCTCCCACTCCCCGTTTGTGTTCCCTCTCTCGCTGTGTCTTTCTCTGTCAAATAAATAAATAAAATCTTTTAAAAAATAATAAATAAAAAATAAAAAAAAAAGAAATAGAGGCTAAAAGCAAAATAAGAATGAGACCTTCTGAAAATAAATAATGTAATTTGCATTTTTGTGTTTAGATCTGCATTAGTAAAATACCATAAAGGAAATGAAAACACATTATTTTTTTGTAACAGTGAGAAAGACAAATGCCAATAGGAAGAGAAAATGATCACCTGATTTTCAATTTACAAATTCTGCAGCTAATTCACCTTGAAAGACTTTAAGCTTAAGCAAACTTCAGAAATATGCAAAGCCTGGCACTGTGTTCAAACAGGGAGACAACTGTTCCCTGTGTCCATGAGGCAGAAATAGTTATTTGACATAATCTTTTCTAATTATTGGAGTGGATTTTCCCAGTCTAATCATATACCTTCCGTCTCCACTCTAAGTGAGAAGAGATGATTTGTACAGTGAGACTGTGACAGAGAACAAAGGAACCAACTAGACAAAGGTAGTTAGCCTTACGTGAGAGGAAACCTCTGCTAGCATCAAAATTAATGTAAAGTGCAACATCAAGCTAATAGCTAACTTAAGGGTTTTTGCATTTTGTAATGGCAAACAATATTAATTTGCCAATGTTTTATTTTAATTTCCTAAGACAAGTTGCTATGTCTTAAATTGTGTCCCCCTCAAAAAAAGATATGTTGCAGTCCTAACCCCCCGTACCGCAGAATGTGACCTTATTTGGATCTTTGTAGAGGTGATCAAGTTAAAATGAGGCCATTGAGGCACCTGGGTGGCTCAGTTGGTTAAGCGACTGCCTTCGGCTCAGGTCATGATCCTGGAGTCCCGGGATCGAGTCCCACATCGGGCTCCCTGCTCGGCGGGGAGTCTGCTTCTCCCTCTGACCCTCCTCCCTCTCATGCTCTCTGTCTCTCACTCTCTCTCTCTCAAATAAATAAAATCTTAAAAAAATAATAAAAATAAAAATAAAAATAAATAAAAAAAAATGAGGCCATTGGGGTGGGCCCTAAGTCAAAAGGACTGATGTCCTTACACAAAGGAGTAAATGTGGACAGATACAAATGGGCATGGAGGGAAGACAATGTGAAGAGACACAGGGAGAAGACAGCCATCTACAAGCCAAGCAAAAAGGCCTGGAACAGATCTTTTCCTTGTAACAAACCCCCCTCAAAAAGAATCAACCCTGCTAGTAACATTTTCCTTCCAGACTTCTAGCCTTTAGAACTGTTAGACATTAAATTTCTGTTGTTTAAGCCACCCATTTGTGTTTCTTTTTTACAGCAGCCCTAACAAACTAATACAAGAGTGTCAGGACTGAAAAAAGTTGTATTTTTTTTTAAATTTTTGAGTTGCTATTTTCTTACTAAACTGTAGTTTGAAAAAGTTTTGCTTCTCACTTCTATTGACCTTTGTGCCATTTCTTATGTCTACTTACTTTAATTCAATTAGTCATTTATGCAAAACAGTTTTAATTCAGTTTCTAAAAATGAAACTGTCATGATTTTTGGGATTTTGTGTAAATAAATATTTACTGGCAGGCTGAGTCAGAATTCTAAATCCTTTTTAATTGGTTCAATAGGAACTTGAGTAATATATACACACGTACACCCCTCTAAATTGTTAGTAAACAATAAATATGCCCAGGTTCACACAAAATAATTAACTTTTCTACCATATGATACAAAAAGCCTAACACAAGTCCTCTTCTAAATGTGAAAACTCTCATCCTAGAGATACAGGTATGCACATTTAAATGTTTATCATCATTGAGAACCAAAGTAAGCCTAGGTGTGAAGTATACTCAGTAACTTTATAAAGAATACGGTGATCTGAGTTTGAATTTCTGAAATTGTAAAAAAAAAAAAAATAAAGAAATAAAGAAGAAGAATATATACATGTGCTTAATTCATATAATGTACATGAATTTATGAACACCTTTATATTTAAAACTCAAAAAAGAAAAATTTTGCTTAATACATAAAGGTATTGAAAAATATAGGTTTACCTTTAAAATAGCTGTCAAACCAACTACTGCATTTTTCATGATGCAATCTAATTTTTATTCCCTATTCTGAATTTGAAAGATTCACAAATTATTCTAGCTTGTTACCAAAAGAGAAAAAAAAAATTCACTAGTACTAAATTATGGTACTAATCAGTCCTAAGAAAAAAGTCTAGAGGAACGTATTTTTAATAAACAAAATGCCAGGTATACAAATTGTTTAATATTCAAAGTCCCAATGTTATATTTCTTTCATAAATGATACTGCCTTCAGGTTTATCTTACTTCCTAGTGTTCTTGTTGGATCCTAAGGATACTACAGAAACCTAAATTTTGAAATCTTTAAATAGATGAAAACCAATCATAAATAATGCATTTTTGCATTTAGATAAGAGATTCTGCTTGGCCAATTTATAGTTAAAAAACAGGATCTATTCTGCTTAGGTGTTTTTGCAACAAATCAAATACTAATCATCATTTTGCTTATATTTTACTATTTGTCATCAGGACTGCCCTACCATAAAATGATATACAGTAACCTCTCTCAGTGACAGATTAATTGGTTTTCTCTGTGTCTCATTGTAGAATGTTTAAAGTGCCACAATGGGCTAGAAATCCTAGTATCTGTTCTCAGACAGTGCTTCCAAAACATATTTTATAGAAGAGTTCTGAGAAGCTGAGGCAGCTTCTGTATACACTTGTGACCCCCTCTTTTTCCCAGTTCCCTCTAGGGAATAAGAGAACAACCAACCCAGAGATGATGTCACAGCCTGCATCTCTAGGAAGGCAGAGGCTGCACTTCCTTGACCTTGGTGCCAGGGAGGCCATGTGCCTTCCTTTGTAGCCTTAGCTTCTGCTGTTCCCACCCGTGGAATGTTCCTCCCTAGAAGGTCACTTGGCTTAATTTCTCAATTCCTTCAGTTTCTTTCTCACATATCTCCTCTTCAAGGAGAAGAACTCTAACTGCCCTATTTAATACACCAAACTGTCTCTCTCTTCCTAGCATTTGAGGTTTCCCTTATCCTCTTTAATTTTTCTTCTTCTGATATCATTTTTATACTTATGTTTTATCACCCTTAAGCCCTGATAAAAATACCTCATGCATTAGGAAATCTTTTTCTGTTTGTTTCCTGTATATTCTATGTGCTAGGAATACTATCTGATATATAGCAGACATTTACTAAGTATCTATGAATGACTGAATAAATGGGCAGCTACAGAGGAGAGTACCTGCTATTCCTTGCTGCCTAGATGAACAAACCAACAATCCTGACCCCACCCCGTGAAATCTTTGAGAAGGTAGGAGTCTGCATGTGCCTGCCTGCTATGAATGTAGAGAGAAGCTGCTCCAGTGAGCTGAATAGCTCCCAGATCCTGCAATGGAGCCAACTGCTTCTTGCCCCTCAGGGAGACCACAGAGGGACTGGACTTCCAGTTCACTGGCTTCAGTCCAAAAGAGGAGAAACTGCTTTGCTTTCCACTATATACTGGTTTCCTGCTACGGGAGAGATGCCAAAAAGCCGAACTTCATGGATTCCAAAAAATCCCCAAATTATGAGCCAACAAATTAAAAATGCAACTCATTTAAGGATGTTCAGTTACCTAAGGGAGGAAGACCGAACTGAAAATCAATGATGGGGCAGTTCCTACTGAACTGAAACTGGAAAAGAGGCAGAAAAGAATATTACAAAGCAAGACAAACAAAATAAAGAGGTCACAAAAAATGTCAAAAAGCAAAACCATACTAGACTCTACCCATACTCTTTCAGAAAATAACAAAGATTTCCCTCTCATTTTATAAGTCTGCATTACCTTCATATGAAAGCCAGCAAAAGACATGACATACATTAAAAGTACAGATATCCCTCATGAACATAGACAAAAAATTTCATAAGCAAATGTTGCAAATTAAATTTAATCATATGTTAATAATATGCACCATGACCAAATCAGATTTATCTCAGGAATACAGGTTAATACATTCAAAGAGCAGTGAATGTAATTCACTGTGTTTTCAGACTGGAAAATTAAAAAAAAAAAAAGAAAAAGAAAAGAAAAACATGACCATCTCAATAATTGTAGAAAAAGTATTGACCAAAATCCAACATCCATTCCTGGTTTTTAAAATTTCTCATCACTCTAATAATAGAAGGGGACTTCCTCTACCCAATCAAGATCATCTTTGAAAAAAACAATGCTAACATTATATTTAATGTTGAAACATTGAATGCTTACCTGTAACTTCAAGAACAAGGTGAGAATATCTGCTCTTACTACTTCTATTCATCTTAATAATAGAGGTCCTAGCCACTGCAATAAGGGAAAAAAAAATGGAAGAGAATATCATAAATATTGGAAAGGAAGAAATAAAACTGTCTTCATTCACAGATAACATGACCACACCCAAAGTAAATTATAAGGAATGTGCAAAAAAAGCTATTAGAAGTAATGAGTAAGTTTAGGGAGGTCAAATATTCAAGGTTAGTATGCAAAAATTAACTTATTTCTATATACTAACCATAAAATTGGGAATTGAAAGGAAAAAATACCATACTACTTAGAGATAATCTTAAAATATGTGAAAGGGCTATACACTGAAAACTATAAAATGTTTTAAGAAAATTGCTAAAAGACCAAAAAAGAGTATCACTTGAATGGAAAAATACATTAA